CTTATACACATCTAGATGTGTATAAGAGACAGCGGTTACTTCGCCCCCCCCATCACACAATAACCCCCACCCTGTGCACCTCCCGAAACATCAGTTTGTATTCCATGCAATGCAAATAAAATCAACAAATAAGATAGAAAAAAAAAACAAGCACCGAACTCTCGAAGCCATAAATAAATTAAAAGAAAAAAATGCAAGAAATGAAATTGACCCGGCTGAGAACAGCAATTAAAGATTTAAAATCACACACTGAAAAAAAAAATGGGCACGCAACTTGCACCACTCGTAACAGAAAATGTAATGTACACGAGAAGTCGTGAACGATGCGAAGTACCTGACAGGCTGACACTAATATCACACATGCAAAATATAATATGATACAATGTATCCTACTGCTAATGCACTGGCACCACATGTCGAAAAAAATACAAGAAATAGTAGTCTACAAGTCGTGTCGTAGCTGCCGAGATATTGTACAGTCAGAACTCAGTCTGCTGCATTCGACGACACTCTACGAACACCCTACTGGCACCAAAATCATACTCTACGAACACCCGACTGCTACCAAAATCATACACACCAACAAGCAAAGCACGCACACAACCATTGAGTGTCTGACAATATTGAGACAAGACGAGACGACTCAGACGACCAAAAAAACTACGACCGCACAACATGACGACGTAGAGTGTGGGTAGGGGAGAAGCGGAGTGTTGGCCTCATCGGTCAACGGCCCTTCTTCCCCTTCCCGCTGTGTCGCCTTGTACCCCCTCGAGTGTCGGATGTCGACCTCTTCCCCCCTCGTGAGGATGAAGAAGTCTGTGCAGTGGAGCGTCTAGATGCACGCGTCGGTGGGGGTCCTGGGGGAGGTGGGGGCTCATCGTAGTCGTCGTCGCTGTCACCATCGGAACCGCTCCTGCTCTCGTCCTCTCCCCCCTCCTCGCCCTCGTAGTCCTCGTCCGCCTCCCGCACAACCGCATCCGTATTAGGATCATCCTCCTCGATGGTGACTGGGCCTCCTCCCTTCCTCAACACAATAACCCTCGCACTAGCCTCTGCAACGGTTTGCTCACGGCAGGATCCTCAAGGCATCCCCAACCTCTCCGCCCCCGAACTCTCTCCAAGTGTTGCGCCTCTCTCTGCAGGCACGGGGCGTGGACGAGGAGGCACTCCACGTTTGCGTGGAGTCTGCTCCTGCACGGCACACGTCGCTGCTCTCAGAGCGTACTCCAAGGTCTCGGTGGACACTCCTCTGCCTCAACCTCACTGAGGCTCACAACCTGATGCCAATACCTCCCTCACCGCGGTCGACCTAACGCCTCCTCCTCCCAAGACTGAAGGCGTGCAGTGTGCTCCGTGACACGGTCGGTGGAATCCAAATCTATGTCTGTCCTCCCGAATATCGTCGTGTCACACACGTCCTGCTGAACTGCTGTCGTGTCACGAATCCTACATCTCCCAGGCGTGTGGGGGGATCGAGAGCCTCTGCCTGTGGGCGACGATGGTGGATCACCTACATGTGCTCTGGGAGAAGGGGGTGGCATGTCTCCTGTGCGTGGCGCTGTCTCCGTCACGGCACCCGAAACCCCTGGAACATGTCCCGCAGTATGTCCTCCGGTGGAGGTAGACCCAGACCTCACAGGCGATGCAGGACCCCATGGAAACGAAGGGATCATCTGCCATGGTGGATGCTCGAGCCTCCGGTCGAAGATCCGTCGGTCCAATCGAGTAACATCGCGCACAGCCTCTCTCGCCAACTCCTTTGCATCCAAAGGGCGACAGACCTCCTGCGGAGCAAAGTGGTTAGGAAGACGTGGGGGCACAACCACCGGCTCGGACCCCAAATCCGTGATAACGGGCGGTGGCACACCATGCACTGCCATCTAAACCGCCTGCGACTGTCGGGCCTGAGTCAAGTGCAGGCCCGAGAACGAAATGACTGGACCCGTTGCTGTCTCCTGGACCTCGCGCCGTGCGTCTATAGCCCCCTTGACTTGCCGCTGTCCTGCCTGCACACCCTCATCCACCGCCTGAGGCCGTCCCTCCACAGCAACGTCCGCTGCCTCTTCTTCACCCGGCATAGCCTCGGGTACCGGCTCTGCTGCCACTTCCTTCGCAACGTCCTCCCCCGCCACCACCCCACCCTGCACACAATCCCCCTCTATCTCTCGACGCCTGGCCTCCTCTACGACCCATGCGAACGCCTGAGCAGGCGGGTCACTCGATGCCAAAAGTCGAGCCCTCTCTCGCTCCATGATGTCGCGTGCTGCATCTGGAGACTAAGTCGTTGTCCTCTCTCTCGCGGTCTTCGTCGAAGTCTGTCCTCGCGCCTCGTCCCTCGATGGAGCCCGGTCCGTCGATGTCGCCCCGCCGCAGCTAGGTGGAAGGCCCATGGACAAATCTAAGTCTAAGTGGGTCCCCATCTCCGAATCCGAAATCCCGAACCACCTTTCCTCACCCGGGGTCATACCCGCTATGACCGGATCGAGCTCCTCCGTGAGGAATTGTTGCATGAGGCGCTCGTCATCGCCCCCACGCTGCACCTCGGCCTGTGCAGCTATCTCCTCCTCCACTGGTCCTGGTACCTCCCCCTCCACTGCAGCTGCCGACGGTGCCTCCTCCTCCTCCGCTGCTGCTGCCACCTCAACCACCACTGCTGCTGCTCCTCCACTTGCTCCTCCTCCTTCTGCTACCTGCCCCTCCACTCCTGCACCTCCTCCTGCCGCTGGTGGATCCTCCTCCAGCACTGATGCTGCCATCTCCTCCAGCACTGCTGCTGCTGCTGCTGCTGCTATCTCCTCCACCGTTGCTGCGATCGTCGCGTCCGGCACCGCCGCTGGTGCCACCGAACTCTCCACTGTTGCTGCCGACGGTGCCCCCTCCTCCTGCAATATCCCGGGGGAAGGTGATCGTAACCTCAGCTGGCGGACTGCCCCGCCTCTGTGGAGAAGTCCGTGCTCAGGCAAAGAGGACCCCAACTCCTCCCTGTCCTCCATTGCCATGGTCAGCTGAAGTGGCGAGACGGGCGATGGTGGTCAGGACTTGGAGCAGGAGGTGGCGGCATGGACAAATCCCCCCTCGTCAGAGGGGGGGTGGTCGCCTGCACCTCTGGGCCGCTCGTGGAAGCGACCTCACCGAATGGGCCCCAAAACTCCTCCTCTCCCCCCAGCATCTCCCTCTCCGCCTAGTCTGCCGCCCGTCGTGCAGTGTGCCCTTGTCTCCTTGGAGTCGGGATCCTCGTGCGTCTCTTCGATCTCGCGGGGAATGCGGAGCGCAGGGTCATCTGCCGCCTCGGGTACCGTCTCCTCGTCTGAGTCGTCCTCCCTGGGGTAGGGACGAAAAATGCAAGCACGTCTATCGAAAACGGCATCAGAAGAGGGTGGTGCGGATGCCCCGATGGGATCCCAGGTAATGAGTGCAACCTGACGGGCAATCTCCTCCTCCGTCATCCCCCTGCGAGTCCCCGAGCACACAGGCTCCAACTCGAGTCCTGCCAGGCAATCCAGCATGCCCTCGTCCCGCTACAATGGCAGCACATAACCGTATCCAGCCCGCCGATACTCAGTCAACCGCACATTTGCGTTGATCTCAACGAGTTGAACGACCTTCTCGAAGGCCAACTGGTTGCACTTCTTCGTGTGAATGCCCTCGTGGACTGCCCAGTTCCTCTCCGCTGGAGAGGCGCAAGACCACATGTGCATCACCCGAAGAGTGCAACGCTGCAACTCTGGCGCGCCCGACCCGAACTGAGACCACCAAGACGTGCACTCAATCCTCTCGCTGTCGCCGCTGCACGCGCGCCCACGAGCACGCCCCTCCGGCCTGCCCCAATCCCCGAACTTGCCCTGCTGAATGTGGAAATCCTCAAACTCCCGACATGCAAGGATGTACTCCGCACCCTCCAACTCGAATCCCATCTGCGTCAGAATGTACCTCTTGGCTTGCCCCACAAGCCAAGCATCGTACCGATCTACCTGGCCCGAAAAGTAGCGAACGTGTCGTCTGCGGGGTTTCAGTAAGAACCCTCCGCAGTGAGCCGGCTCAAGCATGTGCTGTGTGCGAGCCTGCACACGCCTGATGATCCGGTTGGCAAACGACTTCCCCAAAGGGGCGCATGCGTCCGTGACACGGCGGACAAGATCCTGCGTCCACTCGATCATGAGGGACATGTACTGTCCTCCACAATCCATCCTCCTAAGCAACTTTATGACGGGCTGCATGATATGGACGATGGTGGCCACCCTCTGCCACCATGGGTCCCATTTGATTTGTCAACGCACCCAACGCGCCATGACTCACACATCGGCGGACCACAGGATGGAAGCAAAAGCCCGCGCCTCATCCCCTCACATCATGTCCTGCAGAGTGTCCTGCAGGGCCAACAACCTCTCTAGCATAGAGTAAACAGACGCGAACCGCGTCTCGCAAGAAAGAATAAGCCCCTTGTCGGGGTTGCGCGTCCTGAAAAAATGAAGGGTGGCCTGGTCGGTTTTGAAAAACACCACCAGCACACGAGCGCGTGTGATCGCGTCCACAAACGTGTCGCAACTCGTCCCCATGTCTGACAGCAATTTTGTTGGCAGACATGGACGGAGCACAAGAGCCAAGTGATCCTCCTCAGTGCAAGAGGCATGGACGGCGAGGTCAATGCCCTTGCAGCCCCCACATAGGCAGAAGCGGAGTCAGTGCATATCCAATTGATCCGCTGCAGCCCGCCAAAGCTGAACTCGTGGAAGATGGTAACCTATCTCCGAAGGACGTGCACTGCATCGTCCGCCTCGCCCTCTCGATTGATCGTCGTGTACACGACGACCCCTCGCGAGCCAGCAGCAAGGAAATTCACGATCGGTCTCCTGTCTCGTGATTTCCTCCCATCGGAGAGGAGGGTGGCACCGATCACCCAGAATGGCTGCCTCACCTCCTCCAACTCCTCCGCCAACTCCGCACGGTGGGTCTCCACCGCCCGCATACTCGCAATCTCGCTGTGGTTGGGAAGCACAGCGCGCGGGGAACTGCCAGGCTGCTCAAGAAGCACCTGTTGATATGCCTTCCAAGCCTGGTTGCGGAAGGCATTGAAGGAGACCCCGCTGGAATACAGCCAGCGAAGGAATGCCTTGTTGTGGCGAGCAACCCACTCGCCACCGTAGACATCAGTCACCTTCTGCTGGCGAAGCCTCTTTTCTACTGGGGTGACAGCCTGATCACTTCCTCCTTCCTTCCTCTTGGAAGACCCCTTCGTTGCAGCTCCCTTGCCTGCTCACCTCCGCCAGTCCTCCAACCTCTACCCAGTCCCTGGATAAAACTCTGGCACGTCCTCCTGTTCCGGGACTCCCTCCTCGCTCGGGCCACGCGCCTTGCGATCGACGTGGATCACGCCCTCCTCTGTCTCACCGCCTCCACCACCCAAAGTGGGGTCAGGCGCACCATGCCAACCATCTCCCCCGACCCCTCCCTCCACCGGACGCCGCCCCGCCTCTCCTCCCCTTGCACAACCCGTGTCGGGCACATCGCGTCCGTGCTCCGCTGCATACCTGGCAACCCTCTCCATTTGATCGGCCTCGAACTTCTGTTGACTCCGTCGAGCGATCTCGTACAACGCCTCGTCGCTGATGTCCTTGCAGTAGTTTGTCTGCGAGAAGTGCCTCGTGGCCTGAAATTGGGTCCCTTGGAAAACTTTGTTGCAAAACGTGCAACAGAGCATCATGACCCCCTTGTTGTCGACCTTCTGGCCAACAACCAGGTACCGATAGACAGGGGAGCGGGCCCTGAATGTGACATGCACATGGTCCACGGCAGCCTCATGCTGATGGCGCTGTGCCCTCCCCATGTCGATCACCCTGGCGAGACAACCCTCGCTGACTCCCCCCGACCGCACCGCTGCAACCCAACCCCCGTTAACCGCTGCCCGCCGCAGGGTCCCCCTTCCCCAAACACCCGCCTGCAATCGAACCCTCCCTGACCGCCACCCGCCTCAGGGTCTCCAGTCCATCACCCCCCACCGTCTCCCCCACTTGCGACAACCTGCGCGTAGTCGGCCGAAGCACCAGAAACGCACCGCGGGCCCGCACGTTAAACTGCGTTTAACGTCGTTCAAACGCGTTACAACGCGTTGAATCGCGTTTAACGCCGTTAAATTAAAAATTCAACGGCGTCATTCGGGCCCGCGCGTGCCGGTTCGCAGCCATCGCCGCGCACGGTTCTCCGCTGCTCCGCCTTCGTAGAGTCGACGCCCCCGCTCC